GCAAAAACTGATCACATGGCTTCAGTTTTCACATATACATGCATTTCACTACATATGTCTTAGTGTCATGAGAAGAAGAAAAGTAAGAAACTGGAACGAGCATCTTGTCAGACAATGTTGGGATACAGGCAAGAACAAATGAGCTCAAAATAAACATTCCAACACAGTTAGCAAGGTTTGTTTAAGGCCTTTCTACTTTCCCAACTATAAACCCACCATTTTCTAGAAATCTCAAAAAAAATTTTCAGGGAAATGGACACATCTTACACATCTTGTGCAACCCTAACTGTTCCTGCCTTTATCTTAGGAGGTCGTAATCCAAATTTACCCCTGGAACTATCCTTTAAGCTCATTTATCAAAAGGAAAAAATTTAGAGAGGCAGAAACAGGAGGATCCCTAGGACTTAATATTAGCTAGGGAGTCTAGCTGAATCAGTGTGCTCCAGGTTCAATGAGAGACTTTATCTGGAAAATAAGGTACAGTGTGGTTAAGGAAGGTGACAGAGAGAGAGAGAAAGAGAGAGAGAGAGAGAGAAAGAGAGAGAGAGAAAGAGACTTTAGAGTCACCAAATAGTAGATACTGCTAATGCTAATTATAACTCTCTTGAGAAGTCTATATCAACATCTGAGGGTGTCTTTTTCTTTCTTTAAGCATCTTTCTTTCTCTTAAAATCTATATTAGAATGTTCTTTTTAGGTGCAAACTTAATTTTATTAAACTTTACAATGAATTTTGTGGCATATCATTTTTCCGTTGTGTAACAGTTTATTGGCTGGCATCTGAATACAGTACTTCTTTAGAAAAATACACAATGGCTGGTTGCTGCTGGGCGAGGGAGAGGGCTGACTAGACTCTAGTGGATGCATTTATACTGAAGGACATTTGGGTACAAACACCTGAATGAATAGGACTCAGCACATATGGCTGAGTGCATAGGGTTCAGTGGTGGAGGGAGGGGGGTATTGGTGGGAGAGGGAGCCTGTATGTTGTTGGGGGACCCTGCTGTTAAGGTCGTAGTCCACCATGTGCAGATAGCTCTCTGAGCTTGGTGCTAAATGGAGGACTCTTTCTCAGCAGGGGCTTCCTACTCTCTGTCTGACCTTAATTGGAAAGTGTCTCCAAGCACAGATGCTTGACCTTATTTGGAACATGACCTTGACATAGTTCCCTGCAAAAGCTGCTCCTAGGTTTTTCCTGTATGATAATTAGGCATTACACTGCAGCCACTCAATCCACCTCCCCTTTCTACATGATAGGGTCCTCCTGCCACGTGCAAATAAAGCATACTGTGAACACCTATCAGATAAAGCTTTAGCTATGTCCTCACCCTATAACTTCTTGTAACGCCCCTGAATAAATGAACTGTCTCACTGAAGCTGAATCCCTGAAGTTCTTTCCATACTCATGGGTGTCCTAACCCTGTTTGTCACCTCTGCTCCCTTTGTTCTCATGGAACAGTGGCCAACGACCCACGAGGGAATGGAGAGACCCACAGGATGTGAATGGAAAATAATGTATGAAATTTTAAGAGCTCAAAAAAAAATACACAATGGAACTAACAAAAGAGAAACTAGATGTGTGATGATACATGGGGCAGGAAAAGAAAAGAAAAAGATGACAATAAAGTTTCCTTAGTATCCAACTTTAAAATGGTTAAAGTTCCAAGCAATAGTGCTGCTGTTAGAGTGTGTGAGAATGTTATTCCTCATCCAGCACGTGCTGAGATGATAGTTACAGGAGTTATTATACCTGCAAGTTCAGCTGAGGGGTTTGGCTGGGTAGTATGATTTTATGGAGCTCATTTTCCAAATATAAATAACCTAACCAATTTTCCCAATTTAGAGTTAATAGGATTTAAAAAAAAACACAGTTTTCCCAACTTAGAGTTAATAGGATTTTTAAAAATACATTTTTCCCAACTTAGCATTAATAGGACTTTAAAAAATACTACAAATTATCTCCTCACAAATGAGCAATCAACCTAACCACAAAATCATAAAGGACACCAAGTTATCTTTGGGCTTATGCTTGTCAGATTTAAAGGTAAGAAAAGTGACCATTTTAAAATCTGTAATTCATTTGCCTTTAAAAAGTAGACTTGGTATCTGAGTAAAGAGCCTTTTTTTCTTTTACAGAAATGACCAAAATTGCATAATACCTAAAATTAAGAGGTCTTAATCTTATTTTCATAGAAACATAGTCAGAATTTATACATTACCTCCAGCCAATATTAGCATGCAACAGCATCCAGTTCGATTCAAATCAGTAAAATTAAGCTCATTTTACTATGTGTTCTTAAAAATCTACAAACTTAAGGTTTCTATTTTATTCAGGGTTGCAATTTTGAGAATAATTTCTGGTGAAGGCCTTAACAGTATCTGAGGTCACCCTAACAAGCCATCTTCCTCTAAAGTAAAACCACAGACAATTCTGAGCTACTCAATCGAGTTTTCAAGAGCTTCCAATGGTATTTCTGGAAGAGGGCAAAGAGAAAAGGGAGGACTGCATCCTAACTGCACCATAGCATCACAGTGCGGCAGCTGTCCAGACTCAGGACCAGTTCGAAGCTATCTAGTGTTTTGGAGGAAAGCACTATTTAAAGAAATCCATATTTTAAATAGGGCTATACAATTCACAGCCACCTGTAAGACAATGTTAGATGTACCTGCTCTAAGAATGTATAAGCTCTATTCTCCCTGCCAGAGGTGAGAATGACTAGCTAAATCCCTTAAAAATCAAATTGTCCTATATCACTCAGAAAGTCAGGTCTACCCATAATGATTCACCAAAATGGCAAAGGTTTCCCTTCTTGGAAAAAAGCAGCTCATGTGTACATTGTTCTCCTACCACAAAGTTTATAGGCATATGTCTTCAAGATAGTTTGATATTTCTAGAATCTGTTTAAATGACTTATTATTCTTATATATGTTGGTTCAAATATTTTCAGACTTTCCCATAGTACATAAGAGTAAAACTTCTTTATCAAAAGGTTGAAAGTGCCACTGATAACTAATTTATGTTAGTCCAATGGTGAAATTAATTTTAAAATGTAGTAAAATGAATAAAGATACCTTTAAAAATTAAATATCAAAACATCAATTATTTCATTAAAAAGTAATGTTCTTTTTAAATAAAATTTGTATTGAATTTATATGTATTTCACACAGAACATCTTATCTTCTTTATGCCCCTTCCCCACTGGCTCCCTCCCATAGCCCCCCACTGGATTTCATGTATTCTGATTCTGTCGTTGATATTTAGGCCTATCAAGTCAAGTTAGTGTCCCCAAATGTTCCTCAGTATTATTTACTACTCTTCATCACAAGTTTTTACTGAATAAAGATGAAAAGAAACTCAATGTGATTGTTTGGAATGGCAACTCTTCAAATAGCATTATGTCAGTCCTTAGAGTAAAACGTTAACCCCAAATACGAATGATCCAAATAACGAAAATCACAGGCAAACTGACGTATTTTTTTCAAACCAATAAGGAGCTTTTTATTCAGAACAATTCCCTTAAGACATCTGCAAGGCAACCATGCCATCACAAATTTTATTCTGAATAACAATAAAGTGCTGAATGATTCTTACTTGAATCATTTTTTAGTAATTTTTATTTGTCTTTTCTTAAGTTAAAAGAGCCCTTTCTATGCTATTAGTAAATCTGTGAAAGAAAGAAAAATAGGGGATGAGGGAGAAAGAGATGGTGAGGAGGGGAAAGAGGAGGATGGGAAGGAGGAGCTTGCTTTCAGTAAGGGGGCAGAAATCACAGTGCAATTTTTGTGTTCAGGGTGACAAATAATTGATATCAAAATAACTTATGCAAGTTATCTTTAAAAGATACATAAACTTGAATAAAGAAAGAACACTGTTATTGACCTTTGATGCTATGGCAGTAAACTGCATACTCAAATACCTTAATTTTCTTAGATGCCTAGATCTGGCTTGGCAAGCATCATGCCACTGACATGCTTTAGCTCTTTTGTAACTAAGAGTGATCTTCAGTTCAATGACTGAATAGCTCAATGTGACTCATTAAACTGTGTGATAAATTTTGAGGTTAAATTGGAGCAGATTCTCTACACCTAATCACACCATCAGCACAAGCAGGACAATGCTGCAGCAGTATGAAAGGCAGGTCACTTCAGAAAGTGTTCCTTTTACTGCATGATATATTAAGATGACAAACCTAAATTTCAACTGGGCTAATGAGTTGTTATAGATTTGTTTCCCAAATTTAACATACAAAAATTTCCGTGGATTAAAGAAATTCAGATATGAAGAACAAAGCAAAAACAAATGAAAATAAGAGCTTGAGCTTAGATAGCTAACCGGCAGCTCTAAAATTTATCATGCCCTAAGAGTACTTTCATGAAATGAACTTTGTAGCTTAAGAAAACAGTAGTTCTGAGTCAAAGTTGACCAACTGCTGCATGGGAAATAGGCTAACATACAACAGTCCAGTTTAAGCCGATGCATAGAGAAGATAAAGCACTTACGGTAACTGCAAATGGTGAACAAGTCCATAAGGTTTTACAACCTAGCATGGATCCATAAAGGGAAAAGTTGTAGCAGAAAAGGTTGGGGGAGGGGGTGTGGAATCAGGAAAAACTTGAAGGAAGAAGCAGGAGTTGGGAGAGGATGACTTTCAATTGTCTAAAATTCACAAACTAGTAAAGTATAAAGACACCACTGGAAAACAGTTAACTTCTGTCCCAAACACCCAACAGCAAACAGTTTCAGAATGGCCTTTGGCAGATAATTTTAGAAATCTGAATATGACAGTACATGTTTCAATAATTCTCAAACAATATATTATATGGTATATTTATATTAAATACTGAGAAACCAATCCTGTAAATCTGACGCTTGCAGTGCTTTAGCCAATGACAGCACAATGATACCAAGAGAAATGAGTGCTGGTGTCATCACAACAGTGCTCATTTATGTAACGATTTTACCCACCCGTGTTTTAACAGTGCTAAAGCACAGTCAGATTATCATCTGTGAAGTGAAACAAAGGTCTCTAGCTTTTCTGGGGTATGCCCTTTAAATTCTATGATTCACGATGACACAAGCAACAAGATACTGCAATGTGGTATGATTTATGGACTGGATCAAAATTTTAGCTATCTCCTCATCCAGCAAGTCATAGCAGTTTGTTTGTGTAAGTTTGTGGCATCAAAATGTGCACTAGATTTAACAAAGAGATTCATGATGTCTGGATGGTTGTTAAAAGCAGTGATATGTAGGGGACTATTGTCATCAGGGTCTCTGACATTCACATCAGCACCGCATTCTATCAGTATCACAGTAACTTGCAGAGATGGAAACTTACAGACCGGGTACCACCCTACACTTATTGTATTCTTGTCCACAGCAAGATGCAGAGGCCTGAAGTTATTCTTTCCTCTTGGATGCAGCTTAAGAAACCTGTAGATAGTCTGCTTTTTGAAATGGTCTTGTTCTAGAGTACAAGGAACTTTTTCTAACAAGCAAATTAAGTGCAAAATAATGTAAAGTGCCTTATTTAACTGCAATGGGTCAGCTGGACACTGAGTTTGTTTGATAGCTCGCTCAATTTCAAGGACGCTTTTACACAGTATGCCCATAAGATCATCAAATGTAACAGTAGTGCCCAGCAAGCCTTTAGCCCTGTCCTGCAGCATAAAGGAGAACAGTTCTGCAAAAGACAGTAAGCTGCTGGCAGTCATTGGGCTTAAAGGGTCCAAGTTGTTCTGCTGCATATCCAAAGCATACTTCCATAGGTTGATGCACCGCTTAAAGTTTCCAGAGTCTGCATAGACAGCACCTCTGTATCGAATATAGTAAGAGGTATCAGGGTGAGAAGGACCAAGAATCCGTTCTCTAATTAATAGTGCTTGCATTCTCATCTCATCGGGATCAGCAGTAAGACCTTCTAACTCTTCTGCACTATTCAACTTGCACTGAGGGACATCTGGGTACAAATGCTGGACCAGATAGGACTTAACATATATGACAGCATGCATGAAATCCAGTGGGCTATGGAGGGTGTGGTTGGAGGGGGGTGTCTAAATTTAATTAAGATCTATTATATGTAATGCACAAAAACAAAAATATTTTAAAAATAGCAACTATAAACATATTCAAGCAACTTGAATAGGATAAAAATAAATGTCAGAAAAATAGAATGTCTTTTAATAAACATAGAGTCTTCTTTGAGAAGCCAACATCTATGTTTTTAAGTACACTGTTATTCCTTTCTTGAATGCCTTTTTTTTTTTTTTTTTGCAGCGGGGCATGGTCTCCCTTTAGCGTCAGCTGACCTGGAACTCCCTATGTAGACCTGGCTGGCCTTGACCTCACAAAGATCTGCCTGTTTCTAACTCCCAAATGCTAGGGTTAAAAACCTGGCCCAGCCTTTCTATTTTTATGAAACCACAAGTCTGCTTCATGCAGGCTTGTCCTAAATGTCTTTTTGACATTGAGGCCAGGGTTTGCTGGACTTGAAGTTCCTGGAAGATTACCAGAACTCTTTAGGCTGCTGAAGGTGATGTGCCTCTGTCCCAGTCACTGCTTACAGTTCATTGCAATTATTAAATGAATTAATTGTGTAGTGGAGAGATGGCTCAGTGGTTAAGAGTACTGGCTGCCCTTGCAGACAACCCAGGTTCAAATCCCAGCACCCACATGGCAGCCAACAAATGGCCATAATTCCAGTTCCAGGGGATCCATCACCTTCTGTCCTCTCAGGGCACTGCATGATATGGACATGGGTGCACATACATACATGCTGACGATACACTCAAACACATAAAAATATATAAATCAAAAAATTAAATGAATTTATTACATACTTGACTATCACTTCCATGCACAACCACCTCTTTCTAATGCTATTAATATACTAAACCCACATATTTCAGGTAACTTACCGTAAAATACTATCACATCTGTTTCTGTTAAAAAATATTTTTAGCCAGCACACTTGATCTATTTCAGTTATACCTAGGATAATACAAGAATTCTCAATAAAATCTTACCATAAAATTTCTTCCTATGTATTTTCCATGACAAAATCATGGCCCTTAGAGTCCACACAATAACCAACATCATATACTCTAATTTATTATTATCTGTTTCCCATACATATGGCATGTCAACTAGTTTTGTTATTATATGGATCTTGTTTAGGCAACAATATTGCTGAGATTCCGTGGGTACAGTTTCTCTGTCATGTTTATAAGAGACAGTCTAGCAGCAGGCGTTCTGGTCCTCTGGATCTTACGTTCTTTTCAACAGTATACTGTGATGTTCCCCAAGTCTCTCAAGTACAGGGGTTGCACTGTAGATTATCACCTGGGACTGAATACCTCCACTGCAAAAAGAAGTTTCTTTGAATTGGGTAGGGTGAGAGTTACATATAATGTGGTTATAAAGTATTTAAAACAATGTTTAAAATTTTTTTTTTGATAATTTAGGAGTCCTTTATTAGTGGTCAGAGTGGGGGCTAAGGCCCAAAAGAACTTTCTATACCGAGCAGAAAAGCAAAGCAGGGTTTGTAAAGCCTAAAACCACAATTACATCATGCCAGGGGCAAAGACCAATATTACACTCCATTCATTACTCTCTCATAGATGTATAGAGCACAGAAACATATTCTAGTTCCTATAAACACATCACGTTGATCTGTCTCAATAAATGGTTGAGGCATTAACAAGACAAGATGTGGTATGTGACAGATAATCCTTTAATGTGTATCTTAATAATATTATGCATTCTTTTTTTTTTTTTAGTGGTTATATGTCAGTAAGATCGAGTGGAATGTTCTTCACTAGTTGATCATTTTTTTTATTTTTAAATTTTTTTTTACAATTAAAGTTGCAGTTTTAACAATATACAA